TATATAAAAACACGTGCGTATTCGAATGCAGCGTTGTGTCAAAATTTCAAAGGAATCGGTAGGAACAAACGAACATTACATTTTTATTTATATAGATAGATAGATAGATGATGATCCGCTTTAGTTCATTTTCACAGAAAAGCGTAATGCCTGACAGAAAAACTTAGGGCGTCGTACTCGTAGCGCCATCTGTTAGACATAAAAGCCTAAACCTAGATTATATCTTTTAATTTATATGAATGTTTAACGGAATAATATACAGCCTATGTCCACCCTGAGGTTCCATTCTAAATATTGGTGAAAGAATTTTTGAAATCGGATGACTAGTTTCAGAGATTACCTGCTGCAAACAAACTTACATACATACTGTACTTACAAACATTACCTCTTTATAATATTAGTATAGATGAATAACCCTGAAAAGGACCTTTTTTACTGTGAAATAATTTATTGATTTTCTGCTTCTGTTATAGAATTCCTTAATGAAGCAGCAATTTCATGCAAAGCAGCAGCCCTGTTTTCTGCGGCTGCTACCTTCCTTTCTTCTGTGGCTGCCTTCCTTTCTTCTGCGGCTGCCTTCCTTTCTTCTGCGGCTGCCTTCCTTTCTTCTGCGGCTGCCTTCCTTTCTTCTGCGGCTGCCTTCCTTTCTTCTGCTGCTGCCTTCCTTTCAATATTTTTTGCTATTTCATTCATTGCTTGTTGTATATTTTTTAAAATGAGCAACTTTTCATCTGTTCTCTTAAGGCTTTCTGCTATACATTCCCCAACAGATTTTTCATGTTTTCTTTTTTTTCCTGGTCATAAATTTTTTAAAATGATTTTTTATCTGTTAAATACTTAATATTGCAAAATAATATATCCACTTACTGTTAACATTTCTTAATGAAGTATTCAAATGTAGACAATCAGTTGGGTTGCAATCACTTGGAGGCAGTTCGAAATATGCATTTTGATTAGATGGATATTCTTCATTTATACAAGTAGAATTATTTGATTGTACACAAGAATTAGTATTGTCAATCATACAGTTTAATAAGTCTTTTGCACTTTCTCTCAACTCTTGTGCACCATTTGGTTCCTATAATACATACAATTCCTATAATTACTGTAGTTTAATAAGCATGTTTTAATTTCAATATGATTTTTATTACCTGAACTCCTGCCTCATCAATTTGGGATTCTCCGTAAACAGCAGTTATACCAATTAAATTTAAAACTCTCTCTTCAACTTCAGTTAATGTTTGATTAACTGAAGGCCCACCTCCTGTTTGAAATGTTGATTTTTTTATTTGTGAGGCTTTACTTTTAATGTTTGCCTTCCAGTCACTCCAAGTCTATGCAAATAATGTTTACATTTAATATGTATTGCATTTGACATTTAATCATAATACTAATTGTAATTTGGTTATAAGGTTTATAGCAGCAGAAATTGTGGCAAAATTAAGTTTGTCATTTTATTCTTAATGAATGAACTAAAAAATATATTAATTACATGAAATTATATAGAAATATACAAAGAAAGTTAGACACACTTTGTATAATTATAAAATGTTAGCAGAATGTAATAATAGATAAAATCTACAAAATAAAGATTTCTAAGTTTAATGTTGGCTTTAATTCATTAGTTTAGTAAAAAAAATTCATTCTATATACGTAACTTACAGTAAACTATACACTATACATCAGGGGTGGCCAACAAGTCGATCGCGATCGACTGGTCGATCGCAAAACCAATTTTGGTCGATCGCTCGCGATGTCTTGACTTAATGTGTTGCACTTGTAAGTTGTAACCGAACGCAACGCATGAACGTAAAGCGTAAACGCAACTGTAGTGATATCGGACCTCCTCGTTCTCCCTCAGATGCGGTTTTGTCGGTCATGTGCAATCCATTTGCGTACAGTTGTAAAAGGGGAATAAGAAATGTAGACAAAGGGTCGTAAAACCGAAAAAAAAGGGACAGAGAGAGTAGGTCGGGACACGGTAGAGAAGAAGAAGAGTGAAGTGGTGGTCCCCGAAAGTGACAACGTTGAGTTTCAATGTTTCTTCTGTTTAAAATGTAAGTACCTTTTCTTCGTATTTTAATTAAATTAAATTGTGGCTTTTCTTTTCTATCTAAACTTAGTATGTATTTCACACCTCCCTCCCCCTCGCCACTTAGACCAGGTATGGGCAACCTTTTTCTGTGTAAGGGCCGCATTTCAAAACTTTTGAACTAACGCCGGCCACATACAAGATAAAAGAGGGGAGGAAATACCGGTAAATTACAATTATTTATTCATATATAATTATAAAATAGAATAGATATACTTAATTTAGCTTCTAGAACTGATGTAAATGTAATGTATCAAAAATAATGGATTAAATATTAGTCACTGCTAGTTTTAAATTAGTTTCGAGGTGAGTCTGTTAGCCGGTTTCTCGTTTTAATTTTTACTAAATTTATTGCAGAAAAAACTATTCACACACATAAGTTGTAGAAAATAACGTTTGAATTTTTGCTGCATATTTCTTAAGCTAGGAAATTGATATATTTATATGCATTTTATGCAACTCATTTTATCCCTGACTTAGACTATGTCTACGACAACTAGTCGATCACGACACATTTTTAAGATAAAAAGTAGATCTTGTGTACACAAAAGTTGGCCACCCCTGCTATACATAAATGACTATCTATCACATAAATTTTAATTTTTAAAAACAATATTTGCTTACGGATGGGCGGATAAAATAGACCCAGTAAATTATTTAAAATACTAAACATGCAAATATATAAATATATGACAATCACTTACTTTTCGCCATTTTTCCGGATCTTTTTGTGAGCCGACTCCATCGGAATTCAGACGGTCGGCTATTTCTTGCCACAATTTCTGGCGATCTTTTGCAGTAAACGAAGAATCTAATTTCCCCGACATTAATTTAGGGTGTTCTTCGATAAAATTAAGAAGCATCTCAAACTGGCGACTTGTGGTTCGCTGGCTTCGTTGTGCTTTTTTAGACATTTTAAAACGAAAGTAAAAATTATTTCACTAACGCTGCTACAGGACAATGTAATGAGCACGTGCTTCGCTTAGAAAGTGGCGGGTTGCAGTCACGTGACAAAAATACAATGTTAACTAAACCGTGATTGGTTAAAGCGTAATAGCTATCGATAGCACGGAACCCAGACGCATCTCGACCGACTACCCGTAGCGAAACACACTTAACGTAGAGATCAGAATAGCAATTTGTAAGGTTCGTTAACTGCCTTTCGCTAAGGGGACTTATCGAATGTCCCGTATATCGCTCTCGTTCAGTTATCGGAAGAGCTCAGAATAGATCCTCTGGTAGATATTGGGTACCTTCGTAAAGTCAAACGAGTTAGTAACGAATCGTTCGAATAGTAGTAATATCGCCCAGTGAGCATGCTCTGCGGTGATGACGTTTCGAAAGAAACTCTAACGAAGTTCACGAAGGAAAGAGTTAGTTTACTTCGTTAAGAAAATGGCGCCCGATGATATCGATGTTTCTAAATCTACTCGAGTTTAAATTGTGAATTAAAATGTGAAATAATTGAAATAACTGTCCACCCGCAGCAATCTAAGAAAAATATTTCGGATAAGGCTACATTAACAACATTCACATTTTCGATTTTAGAAAAATCCATTTAGTTATAAACGAATCGTTCGAAAAGTCTAACTATTGATAAATAAGAATAACGATGACGTCATTCTCGTTTAACTCGTTCGACTTTACGAACGTACCCATAGTGCAGCGGTTTGCTGCCATAATAGCCAGAGAAAGTTTTATAAGTGGTTTAAAGCTGTTTGCAATGTACGCAAAAACATGATGCGTTGAGATTTTCCATGTATTCAATCGTTCCAGTTATTCATTTCCACTTGATGAAAATTTAAGAAGAGAATGGATAACCAGCCATACAAGTACATCCAGCTAAATAACTTTCCCATTATTAGACACACAAGTCCATACAGCTGGGCCCTTAGTCTCGAGTTTTTCGTGTTGTACTCGAACTGACGTCATCGAACTCACTCGTGTTACTATGACTCATATAATTGGTAGTCTCGAGTTACTCTTCGAGCGAACTGGAAAGGCGAACGGAAATACGTCATACTCACTTGGTTGCGTGTGTCGTTAAGCATGATGGGATTATTTATTGATACAATGCATCTGGGTTTGCGACTATAATGAATCGACCAATCAACTTAACTGTAACAAGTTGTAAACAAATCAACGTGAATTAGTTTACACGTGCTACAGTTAAAAGTTGTCTTATAGCAATATAGTACGCAGAAACAAAATGAAAACGTTCAATGCTTTATTTTAAAAAATAAGCGAAGAACAAAAAGAAATATTAGTAACATACGTAGAAAATAATAAGAAAATGAACAGTAGAAAATTCGACAATAAATTTACAAGAAAAAGACAATTCCCTTTGTGGAGAGAATTAGTTGAAAAATTAATTGCGTGTGTTGGAGCTAAAAAATCCGTTATGTAATGGAAAATGTATTTTAATTTAATCCTTTCTTCATATAGTTTTCTTCCTCGATCTATTTCTTAAATTGTTTTGTCTATTAAGATTATTTATTAATCAGAACTTAACATTTCTGATTAATAAATAATCTTAATATAGTGTCTATGCTTTTAATAATTTATACATATAATTTACTATCATTTTAATACTCTTTTTCGATGAATTAGATACTTCTTTTTATTTTTAGAAAAATTTGCTGTATACATTTATCAATTATGAATTAAAGTTTTTTTTATTAGTATTGACTTGACACGAAAAGAAATGTCATCTACTCGTGGTCGAAAAATTCGTTGCCTTCTCAAACAACGTCTTTCGGCTCTTTCTAACTCTTCGATAGCGATAAGAATTGCGTATCCGTCAGCCATTTTTACTTTCGTGTAGCGATCTCACATGCTCGACTCAACGTGAGTAGCAACTCGCATGGTGAGATGGGAAAGCACGTGAGTTAGAACTCTAGACTACCAATTTGACGTCAGAGTGTGAGATGGTACCACGTGACACCTTCAACACATTGGGAGTTGTAACACGAAAAACTGGAGACTAAGGGCCCAAAATGATTACTTGCAGATACGTTTGTGATTGCTCTACATTTGTCTTGAGGACACAAATGTTTTGTGATGATTTATTAAATTAATTAATTAAAATTTCACCTACTTTACCAGTTGAAAAGTAATTATAAGAGTCAAGACACTTATAATGAAGCATTTTTTGGTAATCATAGACTTTACTTTTAATAAGGTATTCAAATATAGCTGGATATTCCAAAAGGTGGTCATTCTCTCATGTCATTATTCCATGATTTTATAGTACTGATTGGTGAAAATGACTGTCTATCTGAAAAATTAGAAAATACAAGAAACTATTCTATTATAATTCTATAGTATTCTGTGAATGTTTTGGAATACTTTATGAATTAAACGGCGACATAAATATTTCCCAATAGATTATAACAGGAATATTAGTAAAATTACAGAAGCCAATCTTCCCAATTATTTTCTAAAAAGAAAAATAAAATAAAATAGGATTTAAAGTAAATTTAAGGAAACCTAAATTTTTGGTTTAAAGATATTTCCCCATGATGCATGTAGCGTGCTTTTTTCTTTGTTAGAAAAACTTTAACATAAGAGGAAACTGGAAAGCATGGAACACAGTTGTAATTGATTACATCCCTATAATATAGTAGTAAATAGTTTCTAAATTTTTCAGTATAAAGTATACACTATATTTTAAAAACATTTTTGATTGTTTGTCAATAAGTTTAACAAGACAGTACAATACATTACTGTAAGGTCTCGTTTTATGCGGTGGATACGTTCTACAGAAAAGCGCATATAAAAAATTCGCATAAAAAAAGACTTTACTTGCCTTGAAAAAGTAGGGATACGTTCCGTAATTTTCTAAAATTGCATAAAACCAAAACAACGAGTTAAAATTAACTTAAAACCGCATAAAAAAGTTTGCAGAAATTAAAAGAAATAGGCTGCTTAATAAATTACTTCGAATGTCTGAAAGAAATTCATATAAAAGCTTAAAATAAACTTGTATTCAAACTTAATTCAGTTTATTTTATTGAAAAGTAATATAGTTTTACATTTTCTAATCATTATCGCTATCTGATAATGGTTTGCACCGTTTGCGAAGTGGTTCCAAATCACCTTCATCATAAGAGACTGTCTCTGCAATAGATATTTGCGGTAAAGGCGATGGATTTCCACAAACTTCATTCTCGTTCTGTGTAGCTCTTTCTTTTCTGACAATGTAATCAGTAATTAAACTTTGCGATGATGATTCTACTAATTTTTTATGTTTAATTACATTTATATCAAAAATTGCTAGGAACTAAAGCGATTAAGGTAGATCTAGCTGTCCTTTACATCCATAAACGTTATATGTCAGTGGAACAAATGGAGTGAGCTTTGAGCGTTCCACGATTTTTGGGGACTGTCTATACGCGGGCTTCCTAAACAAGCCTATATATGTATGTTTGTCCAAGAAATTTTTGGATGAAATACAAACCGCACAACTTCAAAATCGCATAAAAATAATCCGCATAAAAAGAGACCTTACAGTATTTTGCTAGTTTTATCATTATGTAAATAGTTTCTATAAATGTGATTTTACTGTAGGAATCGATAGTTGAAGTTGTTGATAAATACTGAATAATATCGTTGCGTATATCGCATTGTGTCGTAGTGATTTTTGTAAAGTTTTTCCATTACGTAAGCAAAGGTTGGTGGCATTGTTAATCCCTCGGGGAACCATTAGTGGTGGTGACCTCGTTTTACTCTCCTATTTCTAGCAACGACCTTCTGTTAGTCAAGTCTATGTAATCTTTTGTGTAATCTTTGTTCTTTTGTCATGCAACCAGTTATACCAGCATAATCAGTTTTTCACAATCTCCAACAAGCATATCAAGAAATTTACAATCTAAATGTTACTCTTCTAATCTGATTAATTAAAAATTAATTACTAAAATATGGTTATAAAGTAACTTGCAAAAATATTTTTAAATACAAAATATAGAATAATAGTTTCTAGCCATGAAGTTAAAATTGAATGGGGGTGGCAGCTGCAATTTTGCATATGTTGGGCTAAAAGAATTTGATAATGAAATTAACATTGCAAAAGAAAAAGTTCACCACAAACGTTTGATGTTAACTACTCATGCATCAATTTTAAAGATTAGTTAGTTTTGTCTGTAGCCTGGCAGGCGTTAATGGACTCCGAACTTTAATTGTTAAGATCTGGTTACCCTACAATTACGCATGCGCGACTCGTATTACACTTTCGAATATTTTTTCTCGTGTACCGTTAACCGATCGCTCCGTCCCATCAGAAATTCCCTTTTTCACCTGACGAAGAACTCACAGCAGTTCGAAAACGTTTGTGGTGAACTTTTTCTTTTGTTTTTTCGTCACACCGGAAATAGGTTCTAAGAGTACGATTTTTTTTACACATCCCGATGTTAATGTGGTTGTTGAATTAACATTGCATTTAGCAGGAAGAATTGTACATTTATGCAACATGTGATTAGGGTTTGGAGTAAATCACTCATTATTGACTAAGTTATTTTTTTTATATAAAAGATAACAGAGAAACAGAAATAGATTATGCATGCTCAGTGCAACTTCAGCCATCTTATGATGAAAAATATTCATATTTCTAAGTAAATAATTACATAAGCTCTTTTATCAACAGTCATTGTCATTAGGAGAAAATTTTGCTCTCGATGGAATTGAAACAATAAATTGTTTTCAAAGTACAAAAAAAATTAACAATTTCATAAAGTGTAATTTTCTCCCCTTGTTTTATAATGAAAGTGCTAGTGTAATTACAAGCTTATTTATTGGGATCTATCATCAGATGGTTATGTAGTTTTCTAGAAAAATAAAATTAACTTTATACTTTTTTACTGATTGAAGTATTCATTTGTATATATACAAGGAACAAATTTATATAAAATTAAAATGCAATAAATGCTATAGTATTTTGTAAATCAAAAACTTTTTGGAGATTTTTTTTTCTACTTAATCTTTAGAACAGTTTTATGAGGAAGATTAAAGAAGACAACACTGACTCTAAATTGGAAAAATAAAGCTTAAAGCCTCTTGATCTTAAAGAAGCCAACAGTGCAATTGTGAACTTGTGTTGTCTATTACTTTTAGTTGTGTTCTTTTGTAATGGTTCTGTAGTTTGTGAAATATTTGTGTGTGTATATATATATATATATATATTTTTTTTTTTTTTTTTCATTTCAGCTCTCTTAATGATTGATTGCAGAATGATTTGGTCAAACTGCCAGCATTCCACTTCATTAGGCCAGTTGAGAGATTTATTTATTTATTTTATTTTGTTCAAGATGATTTGTGGACACGAAAATATGAACTGATCTTACAAACAGTTCAATAATGCAGATTCTTTTATCTTTTGGGGAACAAGCTATTTCTTCTACAGATTTGTAATACTCTATTTTTCATTTTGTGTCATGAGAAGACAGTAAACTGATAGTAATTTGCAATAAAAATTACTTTAGACCAAAAAGCATATATCTGCAGATGGTAAAGGTTATGGATATTTAGTTAATGATTAATTAGGAATACAAATTACTTTTTGACAAGTTAAATATTAAAAAAAATTAGTTTTATTTTATATCCTGATAATTGGTGCAAAAACATTTGAAAATATTAAGTAAAATAAATGTTTTATTCTTGAAAACTGTATTCATCAGTTTTTGTGGATAACATAATTTATGTACCATATTTTTTTCATCATGAGAAATATTTGCTAAATGAGAAGAATCTAAAAATTATTTCTTAAAAAAACAATCAAAGTTTTTATTAAGTCTACAGGGTGATTGAGAATATATCAACAAGACTGGGAGCTGATTCTATGATATATTTAGAAAAAAAATTCTACATGAACACATGTACTATTATCAATATTTAAGGAGTTACAGCTTTACAAAAGAAGGACTTTCATAATATATTTTTTGGGAAGCAGTAAACAGAATAAGTGACAAGTAAAAAGTAATATGTTTATCAAAACAAGTTTATTAAACAAAGCTGTAGTGTAACACTGATTATACAGTGTGTTCAAAAATTTATCCCTAACTTCAATGTACTTGCAGTACTTGCATAGTAATACATCTGTGCTATGTTGCATGTAGTATTTATCTGCCAATTCCTAATAAGTGCATTGTGCAAAAAAATGG